GTTGGTCTCCGTCTCAGACCGGTTGGTCTCCGCCTCAGACTGATTGATCTCCGCCTCAGGCCGATTGGTCTCCGCCTCAGACTGATTGATCTCCGTCTCAGACCGATTGGCCTCCGCCTCAGGCCGATTGGTCTCCGGCTCACTGACGGCCCTCGATCTCAGACCGAGTACTCTCGCCAGGCATACTGGTCTGATGAGGATTGGCTTCCGCCCCAGACTGGCCTCCTGTGACCACTGATCTGCACCTCAGACCTGCCGGCCTCCTTGGTTGTGCAGGTAAGCAGGTTGATTTACTACTGGCTAATGCACGGTTTGCGCTGGGGTGGTTTTGTTGCCGTCCAATAATAGATTGGTTTGATAAACCTCTGGTTGTTATCATCGCTCAAGAGTGCTCTCGGAGAACGGGAGGTTCGTAGCCAACCGGCGTCCTACCGTAATTCTTTTGTCTAAGGATGGTTCGGTCCTCCGTGGTCTGGCCCCCATAGATATTGATATCGCCCAAAACACCGCATAATACCACCAAAAATCTGTTGGGCTAGATTTGCTCGATATAATGTGTACCATACTGAAAAAGTCTGAAGAAACGCTCCATTTGAAATAATAGAATACGCAGATGAAACCTGTCGCTGAGTCCGATCCATGCCATGCGTGCATTTACAGTAGATGACGGAACGCATTCTGTCATAAGGAGCGGGGATTGATCTTGATGACAGTCTTATTCGCCGTACACACAAGGACGTATAAATATCGTAGATTCATTGCGTAAAGCATTCATCTGAACAACTGCCAGACGACGCAAAGCCGCCCGCACATAGCCGACGCTGCAAAAGGGAACGCCACTCGGGCTGTTTCTTCCGTGAACTGCTCCTTCCAAACGCACCAGCACGCTCACATCAATATATATTGTCACATCACTGTCACGAACACCCAGCACACAAGACAGCCAGCGCGAAGCACCACGACACACCCGTAACAGCAGATCCCACGCGCGCAGTCCAGTCACGTCCGGGCCGACAGCAGAGCCCCGGCCTCGTGGAGGCCCGGCCCAGCGGGCAACGGGCACCGGGACGGCCTCGCCGCTCGGCCGCGGCCCGCGCGCGGCCAGGCCAGCCCGGCGAGCGGCCCTCAGCGGCAGCGAGAGATAGCCTACGGGTGCGCGCACGACCGCCCGCCACCCGGAGGACTGCGAGCCACGGTCTAACAGGCCCGCTGGGACGGACACGCTTCGGAAACGGACCCCGCCCCGCCAACGAGCCGTGTTTGAACTCGCACCTCACGCGGACCTGCCGGCGCTGGACGTTCCATCGACCCAGAAGTGCGTTCACAGGCCTAGTTCTAGCTCCCCAACTGTTTGCAAAAGTACGTGTTTTGTGAATGCTACCCAATAACGTATGTTGGAGATGTAAGCAGAGCCGCTCCAGCAGGCACCCGTTTGATCCCATTCCTGCGCACTTATCTACATGTCAAAAATATAATTTGCTAACGTTATTCAACAAGAGATAAGCCAAGCCAACGCAATGTCGTTCCAGCAAATCACAAATTCCACCCGTCTCCAAGTGTTTTAACAGCAATCTTACACCAAAAATTACCCATTTGAGAAACAGCTGCGTCATAAGACTTAGTTCAACCATCGTCAGTGAGAGCAAACATCCACTTCTTCATGGTCGGGCAGAAGGGTTTCAATTCGCCTACGGAAGAAACCTCGTCCAACGTCCCTGCACCTCCCCCAATTGCTCAACCTGGTATAGCGTGGGCCACTACCCCAGTCTATTGCAAGCATGTGGGGTCGCCATCAAGATCGCACCCGTCTAGATCGTCACCGACGGCCATCGGCAGCTGGCCGCGAGGACTGAGCTGGAACAGGGGGGACTGTGTGGCGACTGCACAGCGTGGCAGGTCAAAATGCTTGGAAAAATTTGTTCATTGAACATGAATTCCTACACTGCGGCTATGGTGTCTGGGATCTTGGAACTAGCTATGCATGGCAATGACCGTAGTACCACGGCCAACCACGTAAAACTTTTAACCGAATACAAAGACAGTCTGCCGTTCAGGAGTCTACCGTTGGTACTTTGGCTTCCTGAGAAGAAACTCGCAACGTGGACCCATAAAACAATGCAAAGGCGGGCAAGAACAAACGCCAGCCGTTGCTTTTTTCCGTTCCATCAATGAAAGAAGTCACATTGATACACTGCGCAGAAGTGCAGTCTGACGTTGATATGGATATATGACAACCCATGTGCGTTAAAAATATGCATGCCAATGATAAATATAAAATCAAATGGTGGTTCGCATATAGCAGCTTTCTGCAACAAAACTACACCACAATGATGAAACACACGAGAGCACGTCCAGTCAATCCCTAGGAAAACGGGTGGTGGCGGATGTTTGGGAGTGCTGGACGTGAATTAACGTCCCTGTGGCGGAATGTATTACCTTCAGTGCATGCGTGCAAGAAAATGCGCTAAATACCCGCATGAATAAAACAACAAATGCATCACAAACTAAATAACTTAACGCATAAATACAAATGGAATGCAAGCACAGAAACAGAATATCACAGCCGTGCCCATTTGAAGACAAAACTTCTTCCGGCAAACTGGCAATGGGACAGGCTGTTTCCCTGGATGCAATGTCCGTTCTAAGCTAAGCCGTGACCATGGCTACCTTCAAAAAATGGCCAGCAGTGCGCTGGCTAATACTGGAATGGAAAGGGAAGGGGGAGGGAGAAGGGAAGCACCTTTACTTTAGTTACAGGTGGCTAGACCAGCGATCAGCGCCACCAGCGCAGCATCACCGCCGCCGGCGGAAAATGACACGTACCTGAGGGGAAACAGCTGACAATTCAACGCCCCAGTTTTACGATATGCTGTATGACCGGCCCCGGGGAACAGCACACCATCAAACGAAGACATGGGGCCGGGTGGGGGGGGGGGGGTGGGGACAAGACGCCGCGCAGGCCCCAGAGCACAATAAAAGAACAGCGCCGCCGCGGCGGGAACCCTACAATGCCAGCCATAGCCACATAGCTCAGAGCTGCGCAGAACCTGGGGCTCCGCCCGTCCTTGATGGGGACGGCGTCAGACGCGGCGCGTCACGGCGCCATTAACGTAGCAACAAGGACGGAGAACGAATCGATTAAGCCAAAAACACATCACTTGTGATGGATCTAGCTACATGATGTAGGGAGTCCCTACTAAAAACCATGCCTAAATTGAGTGCGAATTTTAACAAAATCCTTCTGAAAAGGATCTCCAGTGGCGAAGACGGCATGGCAGGTGCAGAAGCCACCGCACAAACTTCTGAGGAAATTAACCCAATTTCAACATTTTGCTTTTGCAATATGCTCGTTCCAGCAGTTTTGCCACAACAACTTTTCTCATCAGTCTGCACCCATGGCAACGACATGGGACACGTAAATCTAACATCTCACTACGTGAGGACAAAAAAATCTGAGATTATTCTGAAATAATTACAAAAGTCCGGGCAGTGCTTTCCCGAACTAGACACATATTTGGTCCCACTGAAGTTGTGCCCTCCGCTTTACCACGTGCATCACGTGCGTGCAGGGCGCAGCCGTCCGTGGAGCTCAGACCGGTGACGCGAGACATCCTGCAGGTCCGGTGACGCGACACATCCTGCAGGCGCGGTGACGCGAAACATCCTGCAGGCCCAGTGACGCGAAACATCCTGCAGGTCCGGTGACGCGACACATCCTGCAGGCCCGGTGACGCGAAACATCCTGCAGGCCCGGTGACGCGAGACATCCCGCAGGCCCGGTGACGCGAAACATCCTGCGGGTCACACGTCCACTACAGCTGTCGACAGATGATCCGCGCCCTTCGACAGTCGTCGATGTCGAACCAGGAGAATGTTTGCCCTCTGCCCCTCCTACAGACTGGGCAGTACGGTTGCTGAGAACATCTGCGGCAACGCGGGAAGTGGTAGGTCGTGGCGCCTGTCCATTGCGTCCCATTTTGGGGTTCATAAGATAAGCGTTCCTGGAAAGAAACCAAACAGTGTTTTTGGGCGTTTACGGCATTCTGCCAAATCTACCGCAGGCAACATGTAATAGTTTCATGTAAAATTCATCTTACGTACGCGGACCAACATGGCAATGCAAGCCGTCAACCCTTTGCACATAGGTACGACCCCATAATAGTATACAATGATGCGGCGTAAACCAGCCACCAAGACCTCGAATGGTCAAGCCACCAGCATAAGTTATGATGTGTCGCGCAATGACCTGGTGTCGTGTCGTGCCATTAGCTATCTGTTGGAAAAATACATGACATCTCCAGGAAGTCTAACGTTCGTAGCACACGCTTGATTGCAGGATCTGCTAGACCTGCGGTATATGACGCTGCCCGACCCTTCAAACGTTAGGGAACGCCAGGCAGTCATGATTCTGGAATGTGCGGACCGACCAAATGTCGGAACAACCGCGCTGGCCCTTTCGAAACAAATGCAAATGGTCAGGAAGACGTGTACCCCATCCATCAGCCACCTGGGGCCGAGCTGTAAACTAACTTCCCCACGTTTTGTTGCGTCTATGGTCAGAGACGCGTGAATGCTCTCTGCCTACCGGGGGTCCCGGCCGCCGCGGAGGCGCCTTCTGGACACGACAGGCGCTACCAGCAGGCCGTGCGACCACGCGCGACAGCCCGCGCCTGACAGCTACACAGCACAGGTCACAACCATCGACCGACGCAGAGCGGCACAGGCGGAACAGACGGCACAGGGCGGCACAGACGGCACAGGCAGCACAGACGGCACGCTCTGCCGGCGCGGCAGTGGGCGAGCCGGCCGCCGGCGCCGGGCGAGCCGGCTGGTTACAGCAACCGTTTCTCAGGACCCGCGGCTGGTCACCGGAGTACGTCCCAGCCTCAGTACTAGAGGTACTGTCCAGCCTCCGGTACGAGAGGTACCGTCCAGCTTCCAGTACTAGAGGTACCAGACCCACCTCCGGTACCAGAGGTACAGACCAGCCTCCAGTACTAGAGGTACCGACCAGCCTCCGGTGCTGTGGGCACCGATCAGCCTCCGGTGCTGCGGGTACCAATCGGTCTCCGGTGCGGGAGGTACCGATCAGTCCACCAGCTTGCGCCGCTCGGAGTGATCCGAGTACTCAGAGCCGTCGTCCGAGTGGAGCGGTTCTAGCGGCGTGGCCTCCTCCAGCGACTGCAGGCCCGCCTCGGAGTGGTGGTAGCCGTAGCCGAAGTACAAGCAGAACCCTGCCGGCAGACCGGCACGGTGAGGTGGATACGGCGCTCCCTCCAGCAGACGCTGAGCACCGCGGGCTGAAGGCGACTGATCGCCGTCGCCAACCTATGTCCCGCAAAATATCGCCCAACAACGCGGCAGGGTTGTCGACATACAGCCACAGCGTGTGGTCTTCGAAGGTCGATGTTTTCGTCACGCTGTAAATGGCGTCATTCAATAGCGACAACGCAGTTGCATTGATCCATGCCCAATATTCAAAACGGGTAACACAACACGGAAATAAACAATGTGATAGATCCTGGACTGTTCACTTCGCAGCGTTGTCTCTAATAAAAAAATCAAAACTCACCTTGTTTGTGCCCGCGCCGGAAGTCGAAAAATGGTCTCCGAGATAAGCAATAGTTCATGATGGAAGACACAGCTAAATGATGGTGGTCTGGGCCTCATGGCACGACATATGTACAGCTAACGCGCGACAAGGAGGAAAATGAACCACACGCAGGCGTGATCCAAAAAGGTGGCCGACGAACGGTCCTTAAGTCGCGAGTTTCGCCTGGCACCGGACAGGAATCCAATTTGACTGCTCCCGTTTCCATTGAAAGCAAGTGGACGGCAATCGTGAGTGAAAGACTCGCTCAGTTCGGAACTTATGCCCACTACACAGCCAGCAAGCAAGACACCGCCAGCGTTCGTCCTGTGTATTTCGTCTCACGTCTCACGAGTGGCACTGCAAGGAATCTCCCCGAATGAACTGACGGGCGTTCTCCGTCACTGTTTCAGCGCGGCACTTGCAGTGCCCATATCGGCCAGCACGGCAGCTGCGCGAGCCGGACCGGGCAGCGCGACAGGCACGAGCGCCGCCCGTCGCTGCAGGCCGTGTCGGCCGCCACCGCCAACATTTACAGCGGTGCTTCGCAGGAACTGGAGTATTTGGATGCCGGGCAAACACATGCGCATGGATGGGTCCTCTGCCACCTCTCCAGATTTGTAATAAACACGTTGTAAATTACTGCACGGGATGCTTGACATGGGATGCCTGGACCTGAGTGGCGCAAACATGCTGAACTTGTCGCTTGGACACGCGCGGAGTGTCCATGAACGCGCGGTGATCACCCCAACGATGCGACAGGGACTCGTCAGACGTGCTAATCAATCAACATAAAACCGAAGTCAACACTATCGGGAACAGGCCAGATAGCCAGCCATGTCTTACACGATGTCGCTCACATAAATTATTGCATGATCGCCCAGTGGATAATCTCGTTACCGAATGCAGCATTGCCAACCGCACGCAAGAAAACTTGCACGTCACAAAAACGTAACTGCGGTTGAATATACCGATAGACGCATGCAGTAGTGCATTCCATGCGGTGAGAGAAGCAGCGCCCAAGGACATCTTATCATGCCATGCGCTGACCCAACCGAGTCTAAGCCTCCACCACCGCCGCCGCCCTCAGGCCGCCAGAATCCGCCACCGCCCACCGCATCGTCACCACTTGCCCTCGACGCGCGCCGCCATCCTTCATTTCTTATCGAAGCGCGCCATCAAACTCGGCCACGTCGGACGTGGCGGCTGGCTTCTTGCGGCTGCGCACGCGGTGCATCCCGTCCCCGAGGTGGTCCACGGCCGGCGGCGACGGCGGCGACGCGCCGTCTGCGCCGGCCGCCGGCTCGCCGGCCGAACTCGGTTGCTGGCGCTCGGCCTGACGGCGGGCTGGCGCCACCGGCGGCTCCGCCGGCTCCTCCGAGGCGGTCGTCTCGTCGCCGGAGCCCTCGTCATCCTCGCCGGAACCATCTGTGACGCGGCGCGTCGCCTTCTCGACCGCCTGCTTGATGATCTGGTCCAGCGTGTCCTTCATGCTCGGCTCCTGCGGCGCCCGGACCAAATGCACCTTCGGCTTAGCGCCGATAGGTGGCTCCGCCGACGAGGAGCTCGTCTCGGCCGCGGCCGGACCAGCAGCCAGGGGCTGCTCGTCCGATCCTTCGTCGGACGGCGAGTCGTCGCCGCCGGGTCCCGACTGCGCGGCGCGGATCTCGTCCAGCACCGTGTTCATGGCTCGGCGCACCCCGACCGGCGGCTCGCCCAGCGGCTCGGCCGGGCCGGCCGACCGCTCGCTGCGCGGGCTGGAGCTCTCGTCCGGCTCGTCCGAGTGCTCGCTCGCCTCCTCGGTCGGCTCGTGCGAGCTGGTGGACGGCTGCCGCTCGTCGGCGCTGGCCTCGTCGGCCGGCCCGTCGTCCACGCGCGCCAGCACGGTGAGCACCTCGTCCTGGACGGCGCGCAAGGCGCGGCTCACCTCGTCGTCGGGCGCGGCCGGCTCGTCCTCGCGCTCCGAGTCGGTGCCGTCGTCGTTCACCGGGATGATGACGAACTTGGCGCCGATGCGCCTGGCCAGCGGACTGTCGGGCGACTTCGGCGGGATGTTGGTGAAGCTGGAGTCGGACTTGAGGCGCTGCAGGACGTGCCGCGTCGGCGAGGTGCGCCGCGGCAGCGCTAGCGGTGCCAGCGGCGGACGCTCGCGCCGGCCACCGGTCGGCGTGTTGGGCGGCGTGCGGCTACTGCTCAGGCTGCCGCTGACGGCGGCGTGCAGCGCCATCACCGTCTCCAGAGCCCCCTGCTGCTCCTCAGGCGTCAGCGGCCGCTGCGGCTGCGCTTCGGCGGGCGGCGGAGGCGGCGGCGCCGGTCGGCTGCCATCGCGCGCGCGCTGCTCGTCAGCCAGCGCGGCGCCCCTGCCCAGGTCGGTCCAGCCGCGTGTGAAGCAATCGCAGACGGCACCGTGCAGCGCCACCACGACCTCCTCCGCCGCCGCCATCTCCTCCGCCGTTAGGCCACTACTCCCGGCGGGCGGCGGTTTGGCAGGGGGCGCCACCTCACCGGACTCCTCCGGAGCCTCCGGCGCGTCTCCACCGGGCCCGAGCTGAGCGAGCACGCCCTCGTGCAGGCGCTCTGTCGGAGCGAGCGTTGAGGCCAGCTGCGGATCGTCGGCGGCCAGCGCCTCCTCCGACGGCAGCACCGCCGGGCCAGCGCCGGGGCTGCTGTAGGGCTCCGCGTGCTCGTCCGGAGCCTGCTGGCCGAGCTGCGGGTCCGTTGCGGTGTCAGCCAGCAGCGCGTGCACGCTCGACTCCGGCTCGGCCGGCGGCGCCTCCGAGTGCACCTCGGCGCTCACCCGGATGGGCCGGGCGGCGCCGTCAGTCGGCGCACCCAGGCAGCGACAAATGGCCACGTGGCTCTGCGCGTCGCGCTCCGCCCAGTGGCGCGCCGGCTCGCCGTGGTCGTCGGCGGCCGGCGGCGGCGCCCGGTAGCCCACCTGCGCCCGGCCCTCGTCCACCTGGCGCTGCGCCATGCCCAGCTGGCGGCCACGGCCCGAATCGCGCCAGTCGGAGCGCAGCGTGGCCGCGATGACACTGTGCAGGCCGCGCTGCTGCTGCGCCAGCCGGCTGGCCAGCAGCACCGAGCGCTCCTGCTCGTCCGTGTCGAGCGCGACCGTCCGCGTGGGCTCGTCTGCAGCGGCCGCTGGACGCTCGTCCTCGTCCGCGGGAGGAGAGGAGGGCAGCTCGTGTCCATCGCCGGACTCGCACTCCAGCTCGTTCGCGAACGGAGTGCCGTAGAACGCCTCCGCGTCCTCGGCCACCGCCTCGGCGGTCGACTCCTGCCCGTGCGCGTCGGGCCGGCCCTCGTGCCAGTGCGTGCGGAGCTCGTCCGGCGGCGCGACGGCCGAGTACAGGTGCTCGAGGTCCACGGCGTTGGCGTCGTCGGGCGGCGCCGTCTCCACCACCAGCTCGGTCGGCTCGGCGTCCGGCCCGGCGGCCGGCGCACGGCCCGCCAGCGACGGCGAGGCGTTGACGGAGCTCGGCGCCGGGGTCGCCGGCTCGATGGTGATGACCGGCACCTTGAGACCGCCGTCCATCTCAAGGTCGAGGTTCGCCGGTCGCGTCGGCCCCGTGCGCGTCCCGCGCCGCGCCACGCTGTGCCACAAGCCGTAGCCGAAGTACATGACGAAGCCTATGGGGGAGCGGGGAGGTCAGAGGCGCGGCTCGGCCTCGGCGCGCGGCCCCGGACGTGCAGAGCGGGCGGCATGCGGTGGACAGTGTTAGAGGCGCCGGTGCCAGTGCAGTTATAGGTGCCGGTGTTAGTGGCATGCCGTTAGCAGAGCAAGTCGCAGGTAGTGCGGGAGCCGACGGCCCCAAAGAGTGCGGAAGGAAAATGCACTTCAGCCGAGTAACTGAGAAGGGAACAAACGCATGCGTGATGCCATGCCGTCCGCAGGCGAGCCGCCCTCTTACCGAGCGCCATCCAGACGCCGAAGCGGACCCAGGTGGCCGAGCTCAGCTTCATCATGAGGTACACGTTGACGAAGACGCTCACCATGGGCAGCAGCGGCACCAGTGGCACCTGCCGACCCATCGCACATCAACTTCAGGTGGGGCCTCGCGCGGGGGCACTACGTCGGCGACATGGCGACGGCAGGCACCAGCCGAAGACGACATCGTGCTCAAAATTTGCGCGATGGGCCTCAGTGACGTCATATCCCGTTAAATGTTTTGTTTTTCGTCACATGACCGCCTGTTCGTTCACATTCGAATTGGTAGTCGTGAACGTATGGTTTACTTGTTACCCTGGACAGCGAACATCACAGTGAACATGAAATAGTTTCGGTCCTCCCACACATCCAACAGCGAGCGGCCAGCATGCACTGAAAGTACAAAGAAAGAGGCGAAAGGAACTAAAGCCAGGTGTACATTTAAATGCGAACACCGTACGGCCTTGGCGGCGCGCAGTCCACGAGTTCGTGCAGGACCGCGGTCGGGGGGGTCCGGCGGCCGACAGCGCCGCACACAGGTCTGCCTCAGACGGAGGCGGCACACTCACCCGGAAGAAGAGGTGCGCCTTGGACTGCGGCTGCAGCAGCACCACGCCGAAGCAGGCGAGCATGGCGGCGCCCAATATGGCGGCCAGAATGACAGCCCACGCCTCGACGGCCATCAGGGCGTCCGCCCCGTACACGATCACGAGACAGAACGCCACTGTCACCACACCTGCGTGACACCGGTGCATCGTCAGGGACACCGGCACGGGTGTGGCACCGGTCAGGGGCGCCGGCACAGGTCAGGGGCGCCGGCACAGGTCAGGGGCACCGGCACAGGTCAGGGGCACTGGCACCGGTCAGGGGCACCGGCACAGGTCAGGGACACCAGCACAGGTCAGGAGCACCGGCACAGGTCAGGGACACCGTGTACAGGTTAGGGACACCGGCACAGGTGTGGCACCGGTCAGGAGCACCGGCACAGGTTAGGGACACCGGCACAGGTGTGGCACCGGTCAGGAGCACCGGCACAGGTTAGGGACACCGGCACAGGTCAGGGACACCGGCATTGCGATCTTCGCCACATCCCTTGAAACGCGACGGGGCACCGTAGATAAAACCCACGTAACTTCGCGGCTTGTATCGGACGTAGCAAACATAGACATACAGCGGCCTGACACCGAAGAACACTCTGTATGCAGATACTGCTGGCATATGCCATGTGACCACAGTTAGAAGAAAATAACGGAAATGGTGGGAAATTAGACATCAAACCGTCACAGAAGACACCGTGTGATCATACCAGGAAACACATCACTTCACCAGGACACTGGAGAAACATACAGTACATCTGAAGGGCACGCAGAGCTAACAAATCGGACCACACTCCTCAAACGCCCCAGCGTCAGCACTACCACGGTGATCACCACCACAGCGCCACGCACCGTACGCGACGGCCACGTGGTTGACGAGCTTGGCAGAGCGGTGCGAGGGCTGACTGAGGCGCGGCCGGTTCAGCACCAGCGCCAGCAGGCCGCGCTCCGACGGCCGGGGCGGCAGCAGCCGGTCGGTGCTGGCGCCGATGGCCAGGCCGCCCGGCCCGTCCGCGTCGTGGTCCACCAGGCCCAGGCTCTCGTCCCGGTACCTGCGGCGGGGCGCGCGGCGTCACGGCGCCGACCGGCGGCGCGGGAGGGTCGCCCCGCCACGCGGGAGGGAGGACAACAGGCGCCGCGGTGTCCGGCGGCACTCGTTGCCGGACAGCGTGCGGCGACGTTCGAAACGTTGACATCCATACAACCAGTCGTGTAGACAACGGCTCGGTGAAGCCGCAGCCGCTGTAGTGAGGAGCCACGCGAGAGCCGCTGCCTGCCAGGTTCGGAGGGCCGCACTCTGTGCTTTCGGCCCGTCTCCGACCACACGTCCGCGCCCCCACCGCACGTCGTCCATGCAGTGCGACACAGTCCGTGCTCCAAGTCAGAACCGGCCACTACGCCGACGGGCCGGCAGGCGGCGTGCGGTAGTGCCCAGACCGGGGCGACGTGCGGGGCTGCTCCGGCGGCAGGTGCGGTTAGTGCCCAGATCAGGGCGATGTGCGGGGCTGCTCCGGCGGCAGATGCGGTTAGTGCCCGGACCGGGGCGGCGTGCGGGGCTGCTCCGGCGGCAGGTGCGGTTGGTGCCCAGACCAGGGCGACGTGCGGGGCTGCTCCGGCGGGCTGGTGAGATTAGTGCCCGGACCGGGGCGGCGTGCGGGGCTGCTCCGGCGGCCGGTGCGGTTAGCGGGGAGCCGGTGACGACAGGCAGGCAGCAGGCGGGGCTAGTGCGGGCGCCGGGTGCGCTCCGGCGGGCGGCAGTGCTCGGAGGCGGGATCGCTGCGGAGCTTGCCTCGCGGCACCGACCTCCAACTGCCGCAGGCCGCGGTGGGCGGCTGACACGCGACGGTGCTGACTCGCCGACATGCACGGCGCCGAAACGCAATAGCCGAGCCTTTATTCCTACCCGGGACATTTTCCTACGCGCTGCTGATTATCAAGTCACTCTCAATCCGTAGGCGGGGATGCAATCGAGGTGCATGTGCCTTGCCACTGCATGCAGCGTTGGCAAAATGTCATGCGCTGCTCTGCAGTTTGGGAACGAGGCGAATTTGCTGGTAGCCATCGCTTGGATCTCCGGTGACTATTGGCAACAAGGGAATGCTGCATACGCAGCACGCATTTTGCAAAGGCCGCGTCCGCCTGAGTGCTGTCATTTTCTAGGAGTAAATACGCCTCATCCCTGGCAGACCTAGCTGGTCCAAACCGCGACAGAAGTAGACGCATTTGCACAGGCGCGTTCAATTTATATATAATATATGAATATTGTTCCCGCCATCTGCCATCCTTCGAGGCGCACGTACAACGCGACGACGGCGCTGCAGCCTAGCTGCCGCGCAGCTTAACAAGACCGGTTTCGTCGTCTGTACTTTTAATGATTTGGCCGAGGCATGTTCTTACTGTTAACATTACAATGCAGCTTTCTCGGACAAACCACTCCAACTGCAAATATGAGGCTGATGTGATGCAACGGCATGAAGCATCGGTGAATGTATCTCTGATTAGCCTCAACAAAAATGTGATCTCTAACTCACGAAATTGCCTGTTTAGCGTCCTCAAACAGCTCCTTTTTTAACTATCAGCGATGGCATACTTTACTTCAGAAGATAAAAACAGGAGATAACAACTGGATTTGGAAGTTTACCACGTGAGAACCATTCACTGGAGCCCCCACCGTGTTAGGCACATCGTAGCGCCAACAAAGCAACTGACTCCTCGTCGGGTCGTTGATCTGCCAACCTGACTGAAAGTGGTTTGTCAACGCGGGTTTCTTGCATATTTTTGGTAGTTTGCATACTTGGTACATACACTTAACAGCTTCCAACCTGAGCGCCGATAGTAACGATGCTGGGGATTCGGTGCCGCCACCGACGTGTCTCCACCAATGGCATCAACGATTCGACATCGCTGGACACTAATTTTGCTGAGCCCAAAACCGAGGCAGCTGCAAAACCACACAATCAACGTGTCTGGGTTTTAAGCTCCGCGCAATGCTCCCATGGAAAGCCGAACAGGAAAAAAAATACAGACCGTTTCACATAAGGCGTATTTATGAACACGCAGAGAACCTCCGGCACATAGCCTGCCGTAGGGGACTGCGGAGGTCGTGACGACCCGCAGGTATGGACGAAGGACGCGGGGGTCCGGCCCGTTCTTCCAGCGCATGTCACGACTCGCCGGGGACGGCCGGCGCTCGGCGCGCATGCGCGGCGACCTTCGGAGGGGCCCGCCGCCTGCCCGACTCGACACGGTCTCCCCGGGATCTCGAGCGCGCCACTCCCGGAGCCCACCCGCCGCTGGCGTCCCGGTGTCTGACTGTCCGGCGTGGAAGAGGGCGGCAGTCAGCGGCGTGCAGTGATTCTAGTCGATCCTAGTCCCCACAGACGGCCCGTGCTCTCGTCTGCCACCAACACATCGTGCCTACTAGCCAGCCCTGGCTGCTGCTGCCGCGGCCTACGCCGGCGGCGGGGCGCCAGCCGGCGCCGTCACCGGGGGCTAGTCAGCGCGCGCGCGCCCTCCGCCGTCCCCCGCGTTAGTCATGGCACCACACGCGGCCGTCACCTGTGTCCGCGCCCGCGGCCGCCCGGGCGTGCCTGACGTGCCATCGGCGCGCGCCGGGCGCCGCCACCGTCACCTAGGGGAGGTGCGAGCGGAAGTTAGCAGGCGCCCGCCACCGAGGCCGGCGGCGCAGCCGACCGGCGAGTCCTTACAGCTGCTGCAGGAGCCGGTGACGGTTGGCCTCCGCCGGCGACGGCGCGAACCTGCAACACTGGGGACGGTCAGACCTGCGATGCTGGGGACGGTCAGGCCTGCGACACTGGGGACGGTCAGACCTGCAACACTGCGGACGATCAGCGAATCTCCCGCGGCCCACGGCTCGGTACCGCTCCAAAGGTGTCCCCTGTGCCGTGCGTCGACGCCGCGCGGCCGGCGTCACCGGGCAGACCGGGGACCCCCGTCGGTGGGTCCACAAACGCCATCCCCGCGCTGGCGTCGCGACTGGATCCCGCGTGCGTCCTCGCAACACCAGTGCAGACAGGCACACTCAGGCGCGCACGTGCACAGTACACAGAGCACTGGAACACCGGCAGCGAGCGCGGGAACGTCACAGAAGCGCCAGACGGTGCTCTGGGCTGATACAGCGGCCATATGTTCTCTACTGGTAACACGTGAGGACAGCAGCGGGTCAAACGACACCAGGCTCGAACACCAAAAGGCCACGTGCGACACCACGCATGACAGAAGATTTTAGATTTTCGGACCCTTGTGATCTCGTGATCTCGTAATCCGCATATGAATGCGATAACATCGCCGCGGTACTCCCGGCACATTAACATCACACCATTTGCCCGATTTTATTCTACTTCCAACCTGTCTAGAAATTTGTTTTCGGCTGTTCATATCGGCGGATTGTGTTTTGGACAGACTGCGGACATCGGACACCATTTCCTAATCGGTATTTGCGGACATTCATTTTCAGACGAACGTTCTGCTGCAGTTTGTTATCATTAATCGTCAAAGAGTGAAACGTCAAGTATCTGCCGATGTGAAACTTTCAAATATCCTTTTGTTCATCACCTCATCCTGATTTACCGCACGACATCGATCATCATCTGTTCCGAACTACGCCAGAAATGCTAAAGCTTTTCCCAATCACATCGCGACCGACTACAAACCACGCTGCACCGGACCCGTTCTTGACCAAGCTTACCATTTTCACTTTTGACTCGTGTTGTTTCGTCGCAGGCTGAACACACGGAAACCTCACATTGAATGCCGCATATAACCGTGTGCAATCTAAAGCTAACCACCGCTTCTTTAACACGTGCGGGTTTGTTTTTTACCGCCTCGTACCTGCCCAACTGGCTGCGTAAGTGAAGTGGCAACACAAACTAGGGGTCAGTTTGTGATGCGCGCCGACCGAATGTGTAGCGCCTTCAATAACCAGCCTATGGTACCGTCCGAAAGCCAGGTAGTGTAATGGTGGCGCTGAGAGTTCATGAGCCGGTCTCTCGCTGCCGTTCGCGAGGACCCGTCTAACGATTCTGTTCATTCTGCACCGAAGCCCACTGGGCCGCAGTGGGTAAGCACCACACTGAATGACAACCCAGGCTGCGGACTGGAGCTCTGTGTGCTTTTTCCGAAAATAAATCACAGCCTGGTGCCAGTAAATACCGCCCGGAAGCCTAACTCGAATAGGCCCTGATAATTCCCAGCGCATTCGCCCCCGCCCGGAAATAACACCAACTGCAAGCCAAGCTGACGGCACAACAGGACACCGACTGACAGCACGGCACGGTAACGGAGGGAGCGGCCGCCACTGAACACGGCCACTACTGCGGCGCGGTCCCGGAGCGGGCCAGCGGGGCGAGGCCTCCTACCGAAGCACGGCCACTACTGCGGCGCGACCCCGGAGCGGGCCAGCGGGGCGAGGCGTCCTACCGAAGCACGGCCACCTCTGCGGCGCGACCCCGGGGCGGGCCGGCGGGGCGAGGCCTCCTACCGAAGCACGGCCACTACTGCGGCGCGACCCCGGAGCGGGCCAGCGGGGCGAGGCCTCCTACCGAAGCATGGCCACCTCTGCGGCGCGGGCGGCTCCGGGGCGGGCCGGCGGGGGCGGGGCCTCTCACCGGAGCACGAGCACGCAGACGGCCACCAGGGTGTAGGCGAGCAGCGTTCCAATTGACATCATGTCCACCAGCTGGCCCAGGTCGAACAGGGCCGCCATCAGCGCTGGCCGACACAGGCAGGGGGTCGGTACGGAGTGTCGCACAGCCGTGCAGCACCGCCGCCGCCGCGGCCGCCGGACCGCGGCGTAAATACACCGGCTAATTGACGCCGAATGGTAAACGTCCGCAGCGCGTGTCGCATTGGCAGCACTACAACGCGTGCACCGCGTTCTTCCGGCATACTTCCTACTTTGAGGAAAGGTCAGACGACCCGCGGGACAGCAAAAAGACCATTCATTGCGCGAACATAGCCCCCGGGTGGAACAGCCGACGCGAACACCCTTCCACCATCATCGCTGACACGTCTGATTAAAACATGAAACGCCACTTTCACCGGCGTGGCTATTATCAACCGAACAAAAACGCCGTTAGAGCATCGCCGTGTCGACGTCGGATCTTCAATCCCATTGTGTGACTCGTGCGCCCACACTTCCGGCGGAAGCACCGCTTCAGAGGAGCCCTGAGCGGACGAGGCGAGCGTGTCGGCGCCGCGTGACGGCGTCCGCTTACCGGCGAACAGTCCCGACAGCAGCGTGGACCAGAACGGCGTGTGGAAGCGCGGGTGGATGCTGCTCAGGCTACGGAAGATGAGGCCGTCGTTGGCCATGGCGTACAGAATGCGTGGCAGGGGAAAGAGCGCTCCCAGCAGACTGTCGGCAAACGTCACAGGGTCAGACGATACCAAATACAGGGTGAAATGACGCCGGGCACTGGGTCAGGTAGTACTGACGACGGGTTAGATGGTACTGACACTGGGTCAAACCATACCAGACAATGGGTCAGACGATACCCGACACTGGGTCAGATGAAACCGGACACCGGGTCAGATGGCACTGGACACTGGGTCAGATGACATCAGACACTGAATCAGATGATACCGGACACTGGGTGGGATAACGCCGGACACTGAACCAGATGACACCGGACACTGGGTCAGATAATACCGGACACTGGGTGGGATAACGCCATACACTGGGTCAGATGACACCGAACACTGGGTAAGATGACACTAGATACTCGGTCAGATGATACCGGACACTGGGTCAGATTACACCAGACACTGGGCCAAATGACACCGGACACTAGGGCAGATGATACCGGACACTGGGATGAATAACACCAGACATTGGGTTAGATAACACCGAACAATGAGTCAGATCACGCTGGACACTGGGTGGCGTAATGCCGGACACTGCGACAGATGACACAGGGTTATGGGTCAAATGACACCAGACACAGGGCGAATTCTGGCAGACACTGCGTCAGCTCTACCCACTACTCGGTCAGCGTTACCAACGTCAGACGCTGGGCTAGCGGACACTAAGCCCTTGCCAGACCCTGTCGGCCGGCAGTAAACACTGGTCAGCCAAACAGCCCGTGCCGGCTGCCGAGCCAGCCGTGTTGGGCGGCACCAGACACCACCGGCTCCAAACGCTAGCCTCTATAGTCCACAGTGTGACGGCCGCCGGCTCCGAACGCTAGCCTCTATAGTCCGTAGTGTGACGGCCGCCGGCTCCGAACGCTAGCCTCTATAGTCCGTAGTGTGATGGCCGCCGGCTCTGAACGCTAGCCTCCATAGTCCACAGTGTGACGGCCACCGGCTCCGAACGCTAGCCTCTATAGTCCACAGTGTGACGACCGCCGGCTCCGAACGCTAGTCTCTATAGTCCACAGTGTGACGACCGTCGGCTCCGAACGCTAGTCTCCATAGTCCACAATGTGACGGCCACCGGCTCCGAACGCTAGTCTCTATAGCCCACAGTGTGACGACCACCGGCTCCGAACGCTAGCCTCTATAGTCCACAGTGTGACGGCCGCCGGCTCCGAACGCTAGCCTCTATAGTCCACAGTGTGACGACCGCCGGCTCCGAACGCTAGTCTCTATAGTCCACAGTGTGACAACCGCCGGCTCCGAACGCTAGCCTCTATAGTCTACAATGTGACGGCCACCGGCTCCGAACGCTAGCCTCTACAGCCCACAGTGTGACGGCCGCCGGCTCCGAACGCTAGCCTCTATAGCCCACAGTGTGACGACCGCCGGCTCCGAACGCTAGTCTCTATAGTCCACAGTGTGACGACCGCCGGCTCCGAACGCTAGCCTCTATAGCCCACAGTGTGACGGCCGCCGGCTCCGAACGCTAGCCTCTATAGTCCACAATGTGACGACCACCGGCTCCGAACGCCAGCCTCTATAGTCCACAGTGTGACGACCGCCAGCTCCGAACGCTAGTCTCTATAGTCCACAATGTGACGGCCGCCGGCTCCGAACGCCAGCCTCTATAGTCCACAGTGTGACGACCGCCGGCTCCGAACGCTAGCCTCTATAGCCCACAGTGTGACGACCGCCAGCTCCGAACGCTAGTCTCTATAGTCCACAATGTGACGGCCGCCGGCTCCGAACGCCAGCCTCTATAGTCCACAGTGTGACGACCGCCGGCTCCGAACGCTAGCCTCTATAGCCCACAGTGTGACGGCCGCCGGCTCCGAACGCTAGCCTCTATAGTCTACAATGTAACGGCCACCGGCTCCGAACGCTAGCCTCTATAGCCCACAGTGTGACGGCCGCCGGCTCCGAACATTAGCCTCTATAGTCTACAATGTGATGACCGTCGGCTCCGAACGCTAGCCTCTATAGCCCACAGTGTGACGGCCGCCGGCTCCGAACGCTAGCCTCTATAGTCCACAGTGTGATGACCGCCGGCTCCAAACGCTAGCCTCTATAGTCTACAGTGTGACGGCCACCGGCTCCGAACGCTAGCCTCTATAGTCCACAGTGTGACGACCGCCGGCTCCGAACGTTAGCCTCTATAGTCCACAGTGTGACGACCGCCGGCTCCGAACGCTAGCCTCTATAGTCCACAGTGTGACGACCGCCGGCTCCGAACGCTAGCCTCTATAGTCTACAATGTGACGACCACCGGCTCCGAACGCTAGCCTCTATGGTCCACAGTGTGACGGCCGCCGGCTCCGAACGCTAGCCTCTATGGTCCACAGTGTGACGGCCGCCGGCTCCGAACGCCAGCCTCTATAGCCCACAGTGTGACGGCCGCCGGCTCCGAACGCTAGCCTCTATAGTCCACAGTGTGACGGCCGCCGGCGCGGCCCGCCCACCTGGAGGAGAGGCCGAAGAGGGCGCCGACGGTGACGATCCAGCGCGCCGTCTCCCAGTGCAGGTGGTCGAACACGTACGGCAGCGGAGCGTCGTCGTCCTGCCGGCCAACCGGGCGGTGAGAACGCGGCGGAGCGGGGGCAGGGCCCCGTCTAAGGGCTGGACCCCGCCGGCCATACGGGGGCGGGTGGTGAGATCGCGGCGGAGCGGGAGCAAAACCCTGTCTAAGGGCTGGACCCCACCGGTCACACAGGGGCGGGCGGTGAGACCGCGGCAGGGCGGGGCGGGGCAGGGCTCTGTCTAAGGGGTGGACCCCGCCAGTCACACGGGGTCGGGCGGTGAAACGGCGGCGGAGCGGGGGCAGGGCTCTGTCCAAGGACTGGACCCCGTCGGCCACACGGGGACGGGTGGTGAGAACGCGGCGGAGCGGGAACAGAACCCTGTCTAAGGGGACGGGGGATCGGGGACGAGGGGCTCCCACACGGGGCGCGGTACCGTTCCGGGTCCTGCGGCACTCAGCGCCTCACAGCGCCGCGGGCTGCTGTCACATTACGGAATCGGACGGACAACGATGGTATGGATGCCAAGGACTGTCGGTTTAAATGTTGTGCACAAGTGCATGTTGATTATTTACAAGATTGCTACCGTTAACGCAACTGACAATGTCGATTTCCTGCACCAAAATTACAAATTGGTTTCTGAAGCAGATTTTTGTTACGCTACCGTTATCTCCCGCGACTTACAAGTGTTGCTAAATCTGTTTTTACCTTTACCACTGCAGTCCAAATACATCGGCGCCTCCCAAATGTCCGTAAAAATGCGCATTATCAAGCATATTATAAGTGAGTGAGACCTAGCACGGCACCACGTTACCGTCTTCCGCAAAGCAGCATCACTGCCGTTTAACGTACTCGGTCCGGAGGCCGTCAGAACCCCTACCAACCCATAAATGGGAATGGGATGCTAGAAACCTCGCTGCCCGGCGCCCAGCCGCCGAGCGCCCTCACCTGCAGGTAGTAGGGCCACATCAGCGTCATCACGGCCGAGACGCCGAAGTAGCAGGCGAAGATGACGGCCAGGCCGATGACGATCGATAGCGGGATGGCGCGCTGCGGGTTCTTGGCCTCCTCGCCTGCGGACGGCGGCACACGCTGAAGAGAGCACGGCCCCGGCCGGTGCGGGGCGCGGGCCGCGCGGACACCGCTCGCTAGCGCACGGCTCGCCTGCCCAGGCCCGCCGATGCCAACAGACGCTGGCCAGCTGGCTCCAGAGGCTCGTCCGGACCCACAGCTGCTCCCCCGCGCCGGACACGCGCCTTCCACACGCCGCGTGGGACAGGTCCGAGGTAAAAACCGCAAGCGGCCGTCATAGGCGCCGACACGATGAAAAACTCAGCCGCTCTGCAAAGCACGGACTGCAAAGCGGCAATAAAGGCGTCCGCGAAGCGACCGCCAACCGACCGCAGCAGACCAGACGCGGCACGTGCGGATGATAGACAATTGCTCGATTGAGATTCTTGAGAATCCATTCACAATCAATTTACGACCCTCGTTAAGCGATTCAGACGTCCTTCAGCTAAAAATTTGGTAGTGTGGGAAAATGGTGATTGCCTATTCACATTTCGGTTCAATAATGAAGTTCTGATTGAAGTCATACCGCATCGTGTAAATTAACTCACTGATTCATCTCACTTTCAATGATTCGGTGATGATTTTGGTCTCTTTTAGAAGAGACAAATCGTCTATTCACAGCCAATATCAAACAACAGCGTTGAGTTTATGCGCGATTTTAGATTGCCAAAAATCCGCCCAGTTCAATGGTAGGATTATTTATTTCAGCGCCAATTTCTATTGATTAGGCTATATAAGATTTAGTATATGAATCAGGCAGATCTGCTCTTGCTGTGCCACGACTTGCTGAGTCATACCCAGAAGAGCTTATATGTTTAGTTAATGAATCATTATTCATAGCTCACTTAGACAAAAACAAACTCATACATCCGCCTAATTAGTTATCTGTAATGCCATCATTACTTACTTTACAAACAGACCACCCGGTGGCAACCACTCTTATTTCAGCACAAAGGAAATAAACAATATCAGCCCGTAAGGCTCCAGCTTACCAAGAGCCCTCCCCCCGCCAACCCTGGCCCAGAACCGCACGAAGAGCTGTCCTCTGAGCGTGGCCGACGACATGGCGACGCCGTTCGAGCACCTGGCCCGCACACCGGCGCGCCGGCGGCGACCGTACCGGTGGTGGCGACGGCGTCGAAGCCGACGAAGCCGTAGAAGCAGCGGGCGGCGCCGGCCATCACGCCGCTGAAGCCGAATGGGAAGAAGCCGCCGCTGCCCAGGTCCAGCTTCCCGCCTGGGTTGGGCACGGTGCTCGGGTCGATCTTCCAGTTGTCCACGTCACCTGGTGGCGGGGGAGGGGAAGGGGGTCGGTGAGAGGCGGCTGAGCCCGGTCTGAAGGGACGTCCCGATCGCTCCTGCAACTGAAGATGGCGTCAGGCCAGCCGCGGACGGCGGTGTCCCCAACCAACTGACGACGGCGTCAGGCCAGCCGCGGACGGCGGTGTCCCCAACCAACTGACGATGGCGTCAGGCCAGCCGCGGACGGCGGTGTCCCCAACCAACTGACGACGGCGTCAGGCCAGCCGCGGACGGCGGTGTCCCCAACCAACTGACAATGGCGTCAGGCCGGCCGCGGACGGCGGTGTCCCCAACCAACTGACGATGGCGTCAGGCCAGCCGCGGACAGCGGCGTCCTGGCGACGGCGTCCTCAGCCAACTGACGACGGCGTCAGGCCAGCCGCGGACGGCGGTGTCCCCAACCAACTGACGACGGCGTCAGGCCAGCCGCGGACAGCGGCATCCTCAGCCAACTGACGACGGCGTCCTCAGCCAACTGACGACGGCGTCAGGCCAGCCGCGGACGGCGGCGATCTCAGTGGACTTGATGTCCCTTGTCAGCGGTTGCTCGACAAAAGCAGACGACGACATAAATAAGAAAGGCCTTGAGCTCCTGTTTTTTTCTTGGGGGGGGGGGGGGGGCGATAAGGCCCGAGTTTGTATGCTGAGAGATATTGACCATCAGTACAGCAGGAGGTACTGGTCAACTGGGAGGTGCTAGTGTTGACCAGTAACTCCTGGCATCGTGAAGGTCGACAACTGACAAGGATAAGAAATCGGAACACATGAAGAAGAAGACGTCTTGCCATGTCCCAAAAGGTGGGCTAAAAGCCTCGTGGAAGAGCACGCACAATTAGCAGTTCAGCCACTCTAACATGGTGGCAGAACGAATCCGCTGACGCACGCATGCATGAGAAACAAAAACAAATGCCGTCCTACATGCATAAGTATTAGCTCAAATCACCCAAAGCGGAACGCGTCATTTCGCAGGTATTACGCATACGGACAGATATGTAATGCGTATGCTGAGCTGTACTCAGGCACCACCGCCCGATGAAGGATTGTTTCCGGGGATGATGACGCCTCGATGATTGGTTCGAGCCACTTCCAAGAAAGCAGTGTGACAGGTTGGAGGTACAAATGACCGTAACTGTCAATGCATCGTAAAATGGTTCAAAATCACGTCTGGGAAACTTATTGTGGATCCTAGGAGCAGCTGGCTACCAGGATAAACTGGAAACTCCATCTTACTATCAGGCTGAGACAAATCGCCTGGATTAATTGGTTCTGACAAGATGTCATCAAGCCAACGGAGCGTGCTGCACGCGAATGATGTATCAACCCTTGCCCGTCGGGGGTGCTTCCGGGACCCGCTTTAAGACTTCCGAAGAACATAGCTTTAAACGGTGTTGGGAACTGGTGGAAAGTTTGGCAAAATGGATTTTAATTATTTCTACCATGACAGTTTGTGATCTATGACCTCTTTCTCGCGGTCATGTCGGTGACATTTCATCAAGTTACCAACAGCGCTTATTTCTCCCACGGAGCGAGCTTTAACGTTGTTTTCTCGTTATATTTTGTAACTTTATGACTACAGCGCATTACAACCGTTCTGGCCGCTTTGCAATGTCAGGTCACGCAAGGCCAAGCTTCGTCACACCTTATCCTTAGTGACCACATTTGACCTTTTGAGGTTCATTTTATTTTGACACTAATGGCACACGCCCCACAGTTTTCGAAGACCTTTCTTACGCCGTTCTCCAAATTGAGGCGGCTTGTTTCATTTTGTATATAGCCGGACGGGTCAATGCTACAAGCCTCATCCCTCTGACCTGACATGACATATCACAGGCCATACCTGTCGACGGCCACCAGAAATCCTCTGATAGTCTTCTAACAGCTACTCAGCTCCAATTTCCGCAATGTTATAGCACGTAAGTCATGAGATAGCAGATGGGGTGTACGAAGTGCTAGCTTCATCCTTACAACGTAATTATACAAGTGAAATGCTACATTCACCATTGTTCAGTCATGTCTTTCTAACACTGTCTGACGAGGGCTTTTAAATGCCGTTTTCACTGTGGCTTTTGACCGCTTCGGCGGGTGAAACAACGCTGGTTGGGCAACGTTTAAGAATGCCCTCCAGCCATGCACTGAATGGAACCAGACAGTCTGAATAACAGCGAGTTGCTCCAGAAAGGGGAGGAGAGGAAAATGATATAAGACAGAGAGGTCCTCAGCTCCTGGTTTTTCGGCATTGTGAGCCAAAAGACCTTACGTTGAGTTCACGACGTTCAATAGACTAGGGGCACTTGTTAAAGACGTTGTAATGCTAAATGACGATCATATTGATTACCGAAAAGATAATCGTTGTCTAGCGTTACGTCATTTAACTCTGGCATATTGAACGTCGTTGGCTCAACGTAAGAATCTTCAACTCATAATGCCGAGTGAACAGCACGGATCTTCACAGGTATACTGCCGGGCTCTAAACGGGCAACGCAGTTGCAAAAGGAAGGTTACAGCATTAACGCGCTATAAGTACATGTATGTTTCTTGCTGTTCTGACATGTACGCTCAAAGACTGTCACACACTCCAAAACAGAGGCGAACATGTGGCAAACAACGACTTGAACGCCACTGCAGCCACAACATCCCATCCTTGGGTAAGGACATGACCCGAGGCGAAAACTCACTTTTGAAGATGCCACATATGATGACGTACACCACGACGACCAGATTGCAGACGGTGAAGACGTTGTTGAAACGAGTAGACTCCTTAACACCGATAGCGAGCAGTACTGTTGAGGAAGGGCATTGAGGTTAGTGTCCTTCTGTGTCACACTGCCAGAGGGCTCAGGCCTAATTCTCGAGGCACGACAATGGGGTGTGTCCCTCGGTTGTGCCACCCGAGTGGGGCTAAGTCGCACGGCCGCGTTGTCACGATGCCTGACAGCTTGTAGCCGATGCCTTCAATGCCCGACGGCTCATCCTGCGTCAAAGCTCCAGGAGCCATCCCGGTGTTCCCGACTGTGGCTTTTAAACAATTGGATTAATTTCATTTATTTCTGATTACACATTTCGGACGCCAAGTATTTAATGACTGCTTCGTTGAGGGTTCATGAAGCTGGTAAAAAATGATCGATATTTTTCTGGGTGGCAGTTAATGTGAAACAAACTGCATAACTCAAGGCAAAAACTTAATTCGCTTCAAGCACGCATTCACGAAATGCTTTGGGGAATATGTAAATCATATTCAGGTGATAGCGGCCCATCCAGGCAACAAAAGGCGATGTAAGTGCGCTAGTTTCATCATGAATCAACACGACTGCAGAGAAAATGGCTTGTCTCATCATCGCTGTGGGCCTAACGACTCAAAACTAGTCTTAAAAGAGTAAAACAGTGTGTGGTTCTGTGGCCAATGTGTGTAAATTTACGAAATAAAAACAAAGTTTACACCCAAATTTTGAATTTGTCTTTTGAAATCCTGCGTCACATGATCACCATTTTTGTCATTTGCATCATAACCTGATCAGTTCACAAAAAAGGAAACATGAGGACTAAAGAAAACCTAGGAAACCCATGAGGATTAAAGGAAAAGGAAAGGATTAAAGGATCGCGCTGAGATTTGTCCTACTAACACGACTCTTCACTCATGTTCGCGCAGTCATGCACTGAGGTTTCTCGCATGCCCAGCGCTTGTCGTCGCACCGCAAGAACCAGTTCCTCTCTACGTCATTGCACATCACCGCTTTACCGACGTCGCCAAGTCTCAGCAGTTTCTCTTGAGGTCGAAAACCACTTTCACGCTGGTTTTTAATTTACGCAAAAACCGATGTTAGATGTCAACGTGAAAAATCTGGCGGCGTCGCGGGGACGCAAGATTACAAGAAAACAGCACGCACCACTGCAATGCCTTTCTTCCGCGAGACCGCTGGCCTCCTCTGCGGCCCTTGAGAGCCGGGACGGCGAGCGGCTCCGCGTGCTGTGGTCATGTGGTTAGGACCAGCGCGTCGAGGAGGGGCCTCTCGCCGCCCACAGGGGCCCCACTAGTCTCCTGGCGGGCGGGTGATGTGTGCGTGCCGGCGGTAACCCTGTGCCGGTGAACACACGTGCCGGCGGTAAAACAGCGCCGGTGACACACGCGTGCCGGCGGTAACACAGTGCCGATAACACACGCGTGCCAGCGGTAGCACTGCGCCGGTAACACACACGTGCCGGTGGTAAAACAGCGCCGGTAACACACGCGTGCCGGCGGTAGCACTGCGCCGGTAACACACACGTGCCGGTGGTAAAACAGCGCCGGTAACACACACGTGCCGGTGGTAAACAGCGCCGGTAACACACGCGTGCCGGCGGTAACACAGCGCCGGTAACACACGCGTGCCGGCGGTAGCACTGCGCCGGTAACACACACGTGCCGGTGGTAAAACAGCGCCGGTAACACACACGTGCCGGTGGTAAAACAGCGCCGGTAACACACGCGTGTCGGCGGTAACACAGCGCCGGTAACACACGCGTGCTGGCGGTAGCACTGTGCCGGTAACACACACGTGCCGGCGGTAAAACAGCGCCGGTAACACACGCGTTCCGGCGGCAACAGTGCCGATAACGCACGCGTGCCGGCGGTAGCACTGTGCCGGTAACACACACGTGCCGGTGGTAAAACAGTGCCGACAACAAACGCGTGCCGGCGGTAACACTGTGCCGGTAACACATATCGCTGGCTGTGCCAATGTGCCGGTAGCATAGACTGGTTTGACACACGTACAGACGTCACACGCACACGCACATTTGGACGCGAGCCAAAATTGTGATCAGCAGGACGCTCCAATTCACCAGCGATGTGTGCGAAGTTGTTAACGAACGGTTCTCTCCATGTTCACTGCCACAACGTGTGTTAGGACTAATGAGCTTCCAAAAGTTTTAATGACTGTGGTTCTCTCTTTTTTAACTGCTACTCCCGTTCCTGAGCTGTTCACCTCTGTGATTCTTCGCTGTTCGCCAGCAGACTTCTCCAGCTGGGAAGTGTAAACTTGTCTATCCGTTACAGCAAAATATGAATACCGCCGTTGGGCTGAATTGGACATACATCAGCACACGTGCGATCTCATGCGGCTAATCCGTTGAAAGTAAGCCCCATAAATATAATACCCATTCGATTCATGACAGGGTACACGACGCACCTCTCGTCCGTTTTAGTTATCTACATGAGCCACAGCACTTTCTTCTTTACATGTTCAGCACTACTTGGGAATCACTCTCACCAAATGGCACGTAATCGGATTATAATGAAATGGTCACAGCCCCGGCTTGACGGAGATGCTCCCGTGATGTCCTGCTCTTGACATTACGTTAAAGGGAATGGGGGAATCAGAGTTGAAGGGTGGAAGGAAATCAGACTTGATGAAACAATCGCGCTTCTAACTGTTGGTACACTTTAGGTGGACAAGACTACTGTAGAAAACAAAAGTTTCTATTGAGAAAATTGCTCCTCAATATATCATTGTTTGACTGCATCATGGAACGCCTGCATGACGCCGAGAAGTTACCAAACTGGTCGTGCCAAACTGCCACCATAGTACTCACTTGTAGCCCATAACTCGCCACGAAATGGCAATGTTGATGGTGGAAAAGTTCGCTGAGCCAAATATCGTGATGTGCCCGTGTTTTGGCCCTCTTCGAAGTGCTGTTGCATATTAATCCGGGAGTTTAAGATGTTCACTTGTGCTCATATATTCAATTATGGTGCCGTTCATAAGTTGTTTGATTACGAGTCTTATTTTCGTAACAATTTTAAAAAATGTTGAACTTCTTAAATTAAGTAAAAACGTCATTTGGGATTGGGACCGGCACAGCTCCCTCAATGTTCACTTAGAGCCGACTGAGGTCCGCTATATTCGGAAATCGTGCTCACGGACGCCAGATTAGAACGACTCGAGAACAGTATTATTCTTGATATTGAACGCCGCATGGCCAACTGGGTGACAGGATTTGAATGGCGTTGCAATGACGTCGTACAGATCTGAATGACCTTGAAATAGTCTGCACGAAATAGTCTGCGCATCTTTGCGGGCGTGTAGCTCAGAAACTTGAGGGTTTGGGGTCTTACGAAAGGCAGGGCTGAGAACTGCACTGAGTGATTTTCAAAATGGCTATTTCAGTTCAAAGTCCCACTTAAATGTGGAACAGTCCCTTTAGCTGAAAGCGACACAGAGCGCTCCTCAAATACTTGCACCCATTTTGAGCATTGCTACGGCAGTAACATGATCCAACCGAGTCTCACCACCCTGCACACAGTCGTCACCGATGTGGCCCCTAACTCACATATCCTTCACATTTGTTTCTCCAGTATTTCACGGACAGTCTTGGCGACTGACCCCACTGAGCCTCATTAAGGTCAGAAAAGGACTCCGAGTTCCGCCTGAACTTAATTTAGAACTTGATCGACGCGACTCATTCCCTCACTACCTCCGTCCTTCAATCCTAACCAATCCCAACCGGCCGACAAGACCTGTGGAACTGTAACTTAATCCTCATAAAGCCATGGCCCCTGCCAAGCGTCGGCGCGGCCTGGTGCCGGTCGAGCAGCCGTCCGAGAACAAGTCAGCGCCAGCCTGGGGCGGCCAGGACAGGCCAGGCCAGGCCAGGTCAGGACAGCCGGCCGGCCGGCGCAGTCCACTTTCGCAGGCGGCGCCGCCGGCTCACCGTGTTTCAGGTCACGGGGGGGAGGGGGCGTCAAGTACGCAGAAGTGAAAGGCCGTAGTATGCGGTGAACACATTGGCTGCCCGTCGCCCAACCCATGCCGGTCTTCCTCGTTAAGCCGCGCACGGACAACCGCAGGATGAGGAACACGACGTGCCTGTCAGTGCAGTTATTTGCGATATGTCGAGAGAATGCCGCTGGCGGAGGGCGACGCCGGGACAATGGTGCCGATGAGTGCTTATGCCAATCTGCGGTCGGGACGGAGCCGTACCGCACGTAGCTGCGGCTCCAGCCGGAAGTCGGGGTCAGGTGGGGGGGGGGGGGGGGGGGGCTCTTTGCTGAGTTGCTGACCGGCCGGCAGCCCCGTCAAGGCGACACCGTGCCGCACCACCGACGCTGTGAGCCGGCCGGTTCACCGCGGCGCCACTAGACTCCGCGCGCTGTCCCCCAGGACCCTCCCCATATCCCCCCCCCCCATCCCCAGGCACGAGTGGCCAAGAGCACGGCCCCCTCAGCTTGGAGGCTTCTCCGGTGTCGTACTCCGTGAAGGGAGCAGACCAGAGAGCTGCGGCGTACCGCAGCACGGTGTGCTGAGACTCTGGGGTACATCGGGCTCGTACACAGCGCCTCACATCGCAAGATTGCACAGATACATCACGACCCCGCCCTGTAAGCCGATCCCTGAGTGGAGACGAAGGGTGGGAGGGATGGGTGGGGGGGGGGGGGGGAGAACAGCTGCGGGAGCGGCGATAACAGTCCGCTCTCAACACCCTTTCAACAGGGCGTCTTATCACGTCTGCGGCAGGCCGAGGTCACGGCCACCAGCGGCCGGCCGACAGCCGAACCCACCGTCCGACACGACAGCCGAACCCACCGTCCGACACGACAGCCGAACCCACCGTCCGACACGACAGCCGAACCCACCGTCCGACACGACAGCCGAACCCACCGTTCGACACGACAGCCGAACCCACCGTTCGACACGACGGCCGAACCCACCGTTCGACACGACAGCCGAACCCAGCGTTCGACACGACGGCCGAACCCAGCGTTCGACACGTGCCGACAACTGCGCGCACTGCCCACTGTAGGATC